TTCTTCTAACACATGTGTAATTGTTTGTGCAATATTAATTCCAGAGTGACTTATAGAAAAGGGAATAATATCAAGGAAAAAGTTGCAAAGATGCTAATCAGAATCTATGTAATGAATCGTAAGTCCTAAAAAAGTCTCTTGATTCATTGAAGTCTACATATCAGCAGTTAATGAGCATTGTCCTGGAATTTGATAAAGACTATTAATAATTTTGACTCGTCTGAAAGTAAAAGCCACAATCATTAAGTCTTTTACTTGATGTCTTTCAGGAATGGAATATTGCGGACAAAAAAATTTGATCATTGCCCGAAATTATAGATCATCAACAACTGTGAAAGGTTAAAGGTCACAAATTATCCATTATACAAGATAATCACTATGTTCTTTTTGCTCTTTTTCGTTAAGAGGACCTGTATTTTTTATCATTAGAATTCCTTGTTTTGCAGGAACTTTTAGCTGATATTTTGCAAGATGTTTTCTTAAAGAAGAAACACCTGTACTCAATTGGAACTTTTTATGACACTTTTTACAAACATTAAATCTTGAGCTATCTGGATTTTTACTAATATATTTCCATACTGAACTAGAACCAACAGGCGCAGAATTATCATCATTAGGGTTCATATCCTCCCACTCATCATCGTTAAAATTGTTAAGATATTCATGATCAGGGTCTTCCTGGTTGAATTCTTCCTGAACGTTAAAATAATCATCCATAAGGTAAGTAGATTTTTTTTACTGATTATTGATTTTTTTATTGTATAATACGATCCTTTCGATATATCTACATTTATGATTTTGATTAATTTTATCATTTAATATTCAAAAGAAAAAAAAATTCATACGATACATACCTTTCTTATTGTTGAAAACTTTTACCGTAGCTCCACCCAGATAAGTAATAACTTTATTTATATAATATTATATACAATTGATTTATAAATGCGGTTTTGATTTATACAACTCTTTTTTTTTAGTTATCAAAAAAAAAGAACCAAAAAAATTTAAAAAAAAACTTTGAAAAAAAAATAAAAACAATCTAATTAAAAAAAATTGT